AGAACACTTGTTCTCGGTTATCAAAAAAAAACAAAACAAAACATTGTCAGAGGACCTCAGGTCAAATCCAGGATCTGTGTGACCTTATGCCAGTCATTCCCCCTTCTTGGCCTCATTTCCTTCTGTAAAATGGACCTCTGAGGTTACTCCCACATTAGTGACTCCTACACATTTTGTAGGCACTTTGGGGGAGCACGTACTTGTAGTTTGTTTTCCCCTTAATACTCAAAACATTTTAATTATATCGATCTATGTGGTTCTTTGGGGAAATATGGGGCCTGTTGACTCAGTAATCCTGGGGTTTTGTGTTATGTATTGTTGTCATTCAGTTGTATCTGACTCTTCATGATCCCATGTGGGGTTTTCTTAGCACAGAGACTAGAGTTAGCTGCCCTTTCCTTTTCCAGCTCATTTGACAGATGAAGAAACTGAGGCAAATAGAGCTAAGTGACTTGCCCAGGGTGACACAGCTAGTAAGTGTCTGAAGTCACATTTGAACTCAGGTCTTCCTGATTCGAGGCCCGGTGCCTTATCCACCGAACCATCTAGCTGCCCTGTTTGAATTACAAGCCCTAGTTTTAAACACGGGTTCAGCCACGGACTACTTGTCTGACCTCAGGAGAGTCACTTTGTCTCTATGTCTCGTTTTCCTCATCCGTAAAATGGAGGCAGTTGTACTACACGACCCCATAACTTCCTTTCAGCTTGAAATCTAGGGTTTTTATTTTTTCTTGACCTGAGGAGCAGCAACAGCTGAGAAGGCGAGGGCAGAGAAGGAGGCGCCGTCGACTCCCCCTCCCTTTCCGTCCCTGCCACCGTAAGAAACACTGTTCACCGACAGCGCTGGGCTGTTTGCTGAGGGCGGCACCAAACCTTTGCACCACGTTTAAGACAAAAGGCTAAAACAGGAAGCCCCGAGTCATTCGCAGGCAGCCCAGGTGAGCGAGCGTACAGAGCCCTAGAGGCCGCGTCAGGAGACCTGGGGCAAGTCGTGATTCCGCTGCTCACCAAGCACACAGACCTGGGCAAGGCGCTTTCTCTCTGGCTCTCTCCTTGGCTCTGCCTCTGTCTCCCCACCTTCCTTCTCTCTCTGCCTCTCTTGCTTCTCTCCCTGCCCGCCCCACTTTGGCCTCACTTTCCTTTTTTTCTCTAGTAGGAGACGATGCTCTCGGAGATCGTCCCTCCTGAGACGTGATCTGATTCTCAGAGAAGGGTCAGCCCTGTGGCAGGACCATCGCTTGAGCCTCAGGGAGACCACGCAGGGAAATGGGGAGAAGATGAAGGGGGCGGAGCTGGGACTGGACCCCAGTGACCATTGTTTGTAGCTCCTGAAAAGCTGGTGTGTGCTGAAGCAGAGTCAGGCAGGAAAGGAGCCCCGACTGCTCTTGGAGTGGTAGTCTGTTAGCATTCATTTCATTTTCACTACGCTGTGATGCCCCATCTCTCCAGGCTTTTCTGGCAAGATGCCATAGTTAGAGATGAAAAGGCCTAAGACCTGGTGATGAAATGCCCTCCCAGGGGAGAAGGGAGGTTCAGCTTCTCACTGTACCTCCTCACCTGGGGTCAGGAAGACCTGAGTTCAAATCTGGCCTCAGACGCTTACTAGCTGTTTGACCCTGGCCAAGTCGCTTCACCCTGTTTGCCTCAGTTTCGTCATCAGTAAAATGAACTAGAGCAGGAATGGCAAACCACTCTACTACCTTTGCCAAGAAAACCCCAAACAAGGTCCTAAAAACGGTAACAACAACAAAACTCTAGGGGCAGCTAGGGGGCGCAGTGGATAGAGCACCAACCCTGGAGTCAGGAGGACCTGTGCTCAATCCGAACTCAAGACACTTGATACTTACTAGCTGTGTGACCCTGGGCAAGTCACTTAACCCCACTGCCTAGCAAAAACAATAACAAAAACAAAAATTCTGCTTTGGAGACATCAACTGGTAAGTATTTTCTTTTGTTAGTAGAGTTTCTGTATGTAGTGCCAAGTCTCATGGCCACAGCTGAAACCTATTTCTTAACAAGTGTGGGACAGGCTGCCCAGCACTAAAAGCATCTACGTGGGTGTGCATTTAATGAGCGTGTTCTCTGAGCCCTTTCCTGACACCCTAGTATAGAGAGTTAGCCCATTTCAAACATGAACATAAGAGTAAAGAGCTCCCGGGGAAAACGTGACCAGTTTTATAGTCCTGGCAGCTGATTTGGGTTTCCTGAGGGAGTTCACAGTCTAAAGAACCAGCCTGTGGAGAAGGAATTTCCTCAGCCTTACCACAAGCCCCAGAATTTACTTTTATCGAGGTCTGAGAAGTGACCGTCTGCTAAAGACTTGGGCATTGAAAAATGAACTTGTTCAAAGAACTCCAAAGTAGGAATCCTGTCCCATGACAGTTCAGTGGATCATTTGGAGAACGAGGCAGCTTCTCCTCTGGAGTTAAGGGTGGTTAAGAGCAGCGGAATGATGTGTATCTGGCATAAAAATGTGGAGCACCCAGTGGATGTGAGCAGACTTTCCAGGTCATTGTATATGCTTGCTGTTTGGCTAAACCAGGGGTCTAACCCTTTTTTGAGTCCTAGGCCCCTCTGGCAGGCCAGTGAAGATTACAAACTCCTCAGACTAATGAATTTAGATGCAGAAAATAAAATATACAGGAGTCCAAATGAAGCTAATTAGGTTGAAGTGGAGCTCCCATTGTTTTCAATTTCATAGGACAGCCCCCCCTCAAGTTAATGACTCCTAGGCTAGACATTTTTGGTTAAGTGTCTGAGTGTTTGTGTGTGATCATTACAAAGTTCACCCTTTTAAATATTTACTCATTGCTATGCCAACCCATGCCACCAAATCTGCAGGCCCTCGCCCAATCCTCTCCTTGTTATCCAAGTTGCCTACTTGAGGATTTTTCTCCTTTCCACTGGTTACTGTGCTACTCTCATGAATTCCACCGCTTTCAAGGTCTCTAGAATGTGTTCCCTGAGAATGCAAAGGGCCCACTTAGGTATGTGTCACACAGTGCTGCTCTACTTGAGAGATTCCCATGGGCATCTGAGCCATGAAGCAGCTAAACCCAGAGCTCAGCCCTGTTCACCCGGAGATCCCTCCTTCTGAACCTCTCTGTGACTGCTTGGGGCACTCCCATTCTCCTAGTCACCTAGCCTTGAAGCTTCAGCATCCCTTTACTGGACCTGAGATCGAATTCTGCTGCCCAATCTCCCCCCTGTCTCCCTTCCTCTGGGTGACCAGCTGTTTATCCAAAGGCAAGTCACTTGGCCTCTATTTACCTCGGTTTCTTCACCTATAAGCAAGGTGTAATAATATAATATAATATAATATAATATAATATAATATAATATAATATAATATAATATAATATAATATAATATAATATAATATAAATAACAATACAATAATAATATTATACAATATATAATATGTAATAGTAATGTAATGAAGAAGAGTAGCATCCACCTCGCAGGGTTGTTGTGAAAATCAGATGAGATCCTGTCTGTACAAAGGGTTTCACACAATGCCTTGCACACAGTAGGCACTTTGTAAGCACTCATTTCCTTCTCGTCCATACCCCTGGTTTCCATTCATACTGGTGAAGGATGCCATCACCTCTCACCTGGGCTAGTGCAAAGCCTTCTACCTCATCTCCCTGCTTTAAATCTCTCCTCAGTCCAATCCATCTACCACTTGGCTGCCAAGGTGATTTCCCCAAACTGGGCACCTGGCTTTGTCCCTCCTCTAGTCCCTAAACTCCAGAACCTCCCATTTGTACCTGCCAAAGTCTTTCCCCATTTGTAGGTGCCAAGGGCTTGTCCCAAGAAGACCTTCCACTGTCTCTACATATCTTTTCTATTTCTTCACTTGTTATCTTCCCCATTTGAGTGCGAGCTCCGTATGCCAGCTGTTTTCTAACTCCTGTCACCACTATCACCACACCTCTGGCATCTGTCCACTTCTCTCCACTCATGTGGCCACCAGCCTACTCTCACCTCTTATAATTTATATCTTCCTACTAGGCTCAACTCAGGTTTCAGCTGCTCTTGTGAAGCCTTTCTCAATATATTCGCTGTTTCTATTACTATCTCTATCCTTAAACTAACTTTTTAATATATGCCACTCTGCCTACATTATATCCCACAGTAGAATGTAATCTCATGGAGGTCCGAAGGGGTAGGATGCTATCATCAGGGAAGGGTCAGAGAAGGTTTCCGGGAAGGGATGGGCTTTCAATTAGACTTTAAAGGGTTCAGAGGATTCAGGTGAGGGAACCATTGGAATGGTTAGCCAAGTTGACTGCCCTGGGCATACAGATAGGTATGTAATACACAGTAGTATTCCTAAGCCCATTTTTTTAAAGAATGGACCATTATTTCATTTTTCCCTTATAAAGTTCAAAGCCAAGAACATTTGACCTGTGTTATTTGTTGCATGTCCTCCATTTTTGAAGCGAGACCAATGACATCAGGGGTGATGCCTTTACTCTTGCATGAATGGGATTTAAGTGAGGCAGAGGTACTTAGAAGTCTCTCCAGGTTCAGGAGCCTCCATTTCAATACTCATGCACATATTTTGGGCACCTGGAGGTTGGTCCTACTCTTTTTTCAGGATAAAAGGTAAACGAAAAGTCCCCAAAGTTGCCTTCTAGTTGGAGAAGCTCTTGAAGCACCAAGCAATGATTAAGGAAAGTGTATGAAGCATATGAATTCTATTTCCCAGAAACACAGACACACTTGAAAAAGACACCTCAAGAGAAGGAAACTCAGGACCCAGTTCCCTTTTTCAGGTTTCTAGATCCTGGAATGGAAAGATGTTCTTAGGGCTGCTGTTGTTTGGATTCCCCACCATAATGGTGCCCCTAGAACATCTCCATGTATTCTGACCCTTACAAATGCTGACTCAGCTTGTTTGAGGGATTTGCTCTGGGCTGCTCAGCCCCTCACTACAATTTTCAGGACACTGGATTTCAAATGTTGATCTACTTTCCATTCATGCTTTCTTCTAGACAAATCAGATGGAAAAAGCTGCTGAAGCTGCCTATACTTTCCTAATGGCCAACCCTGAGCACATGGCAGTGCCTTCTCATGATGAGAATACTGAAACGGTGGCAGGAACCAAGCTGGTTGATCGAGAAGCCCAACCCCATCTGGTGAGTGGAAGGGGAGGGAGGGGAAGGGGAAAGAGAGAGAGAGAGAGAGAGAGAGAGAGAGAGAGAGAGAGAGAGAGAGAGAGAGAGAGAGAGAGAGAGAGAGAGAGAGAGAAAGAGCTTGGCATCTTTCCTGTGTCTTAAGGGGGACGTTTTTTCTGAGTCTTCGATCATGGTGACTGAGTAGGAAGAGAGAGAGTAGACTTGTAAATAAGAGAGAATAAATTAACCAAAATTAGTAAATTAACAAAAATGTGCACTGTTTACCATAGCAGTTTTTTTTCTTTTTTAACTTGCTTGGTCTATGAACTTTTTGAATTAAAAAAAGTATTTCCATAACTGAATTTTAATATAATTGGTTTCCTTAGTAACCTATATATTTTTTATCCATTTGAGAAGAAGATTTTTAGAAGGGATCCATAGTCTTCACTAATCTAGCAAAGTATCCTAGGACACAACAGAGGTGAATATCCTTTAATAATAACAATACTAATATTAATAATAATCTACATCAATAGTAATTAAAAAAAAACCTTCCACAACAACTGAATAATGGATTTTCAAAGTCCTGGGCAACCAAAGAAGTCTTCTAGAGAAACAAATGATGACCACTTACTTCAATCTCTGTGTTTCTCTAGTCCTCAGCCCAGGCCTGATAAGTCAAGGTCTTAGCATTCACTAACATCATGGCTTGCATTCTCTGATGGGGATATTATTGTAGGATCAATTTGTCAGAAGTTCTAAACTCTCAGAAACTATCATGGTGACCTCTGGCTGATTCTTCTGGACCAGACTAATGGCAAACAATGAGAGGGATTAGGACTCATTACAAAACCTCTTGTTTTCGTAGGTGCATAATCCCAAAGATTGTGAACTCCCTCCAGTGGGGGAGAGGGGAAGGGAGAATATCCACATAGTCTTATCCCTGGGCTTTTTTTCCATATCCTCCCAAAGATCTTCCATAGGATCACCCTCTCCTCATCCTCAACAGGCCTCGGTTATCTTCTGTCCTTTCTTGAAATTTCATAGCTGCCAAGACAGCACTTGGGCTATCTGTTGCTTAAACCTTGGTCTGGCTCTTGAGGTGGGGTCTGTTCATGTCCTTTATGGTCATATAACTATCTTGTAATGACTGAGCATTTCTGAGACTGGAGTGAAACTTGGGAGAACTCAAGATATTAGCACCACAGGAAGCATGCATTTTAGGAATAGAGGTGTTGAGATGAGACTGCCTGGGATGGCAATTCCTGATGAGAAACTCCTTTTACAGAGAAGGTGAAGGTTGGCACCTTCTCTGAAGTTTACAGTATTAGAGAATTTTGTGGCAACCCAAGAGATTAGATGGGCTGCCTAGAATCACTCAGCTAACGTGGATCAGAGGCAGAACATACATGCACATCTTCCTCATTCCAAGGCTGGCTCTGTCTCTAATGTGCATTATTGCCTGTCATGATAAGATGAGTAAGAAAATAACATAAATGAGGGATCTCACTGAATATGAATATAAGTGACCCTTCTTAATCCCATTGAGATTGTATCTGAGGATACTTGGTGGTAGCTAATTCTACCTCTTAGCTCTCTGTTTGGCCATTAGATTCTTACTTATAAGTTCAGGACCGTTGATGGGAAATCATCAACTTGTCCATAATATTGAAGAAAACCCAACCACCCCACAGTACTGTTTTCCTTGTGTGACCCAGGGATTCAGCCCCTGTGATCCTGAATCTTTTAACACCTCATCATCCTGCTTGTTTCATTTTTGCTAATGGTGTTACTGAACATTTCTTTGCAGGAACACTACCGGGACGCTGTAGAATTTTATGAAGCTGATAACTTCCAGTCGGCTATTGAGTCCTTTGAACAAGCTTTAAAGGAATATTTTGTGGCTGACAGGGAATGCCGGGTTCTGTGTGAGTGGTCCCAGAGCTATGGTGACTATGACAATCTAGCAAAAACTGATGGCTTCTATGAAGTCATTGCAGGTGAGACTTTTCATTTGACTCATAGGACGTAATGTCGAAGCTCGAAAAAACCTTAGAAATAACTTAGTCCAACAATCCTATCTCACAGATAAAAAAAAATGAGGTCTAAAGAGATTAAGTGATTGAAGTGCCCAAGGTCACAGAATGAATGGAAAAATCCATATGTCCATATGATATTTTTGGGGAGGCAATTGGAGTTAAGTATCTTGCCCAGAGTGAGTGTGATGTGTCTGAGGCAGGATTTGAACTCAGGTCCTCCTGAATCCAGGGCCAGTGCTCTATCCACTGTACCACCTACCTTCCCCCATATAATTTTTTTTTCTAAAAACACTTCTTTCTCTAGGTAACTGCACTTTAGTAGGTGCATTTCTTGGCCCAAGGATGTGCTATTTGGAGGAAAGCTTTTTAATTCACAGAATTTTAGAGTGGGGCAAGTTTAGGAGATTATCAAGGCCAGCTCCCTTGGTACTCAGATTGAAGCCCAGTGACTTGCCCAAGGACACACAAGTCAGACTCAGACCCAGAACTCTGACTCCCATCTTCTACCTCCTGTGTTCCTTCAGCCACCCCACTTCCCCTCCACTGTATTTAGGTTGGGAGTCAGGTCAAAAAAGGAAGGAAAGGGGGGACAATGATGAAGCATCTCTAAAATACTCCCATATGTCATGGACTTCATTGTAACTTTTTTGAAGTGTATGTGCCTGCACCCCTTCCACTGATAGTGGGGTGGCTGTAACCCATGCCCATGCAATCAAACTGATGACGAACTTGTGAGATGTTCTGTCATCAAATGGCAGACACAGTCGCCCTCCCCAGGCCCATACTTGAAGCGGTTCCAGCTAGGATAGACTTGCCAGGCTTGCATTCCCCTGGCAGAGCTGACAGCAATGCTGGGCCACCCAGTTATCACAGTGAGGCATCTAAGGACTTTCATAGATGTTTTCTGAGGTATAAATTGGAAAGACAGCCTGACTCCTTTGGTTATGGTAGGGACCACTGGATTGCTATAAGCCCATTGGAATCTAGTTAAGGTTCCAGGAAACCTGGAACATTGTCACAAGCTTTCTTTTTCTTTTTTTTTTCCTTCTGCTTTGTCCCAAAGTCCCAAAGCAAGGTTAATGAGTTTCCTGCTGCACTCCTTGATCAACAAACACCTTTGGAAGAAAACTCACACTTCCAATTAGATTAGCCTGTTTTGGAGCTGTGTACTTTTATCATGCCTTAAAAGAAATTCATTTGACACAAGAATTGTTGACTTGGTGTGTTCACCAATAACAGAACCCACCTTCCTTGTTTAACGATAATGAGGATGGGGGTGGGGAGAACGAGGGATTTATTTACTGTCACTCTTGACAGTTGAGTCCTCTCAGGGCCTTGCTATGTGGGGCAAGTCCCTGCTAGGGAGAAGCAGAGCATTCTAGCCTCTAGCTGGACTTCTGGGCGCAGAGGCTGAAGGAGATGGAAGCGTCTGGTTTAGCTCTCTTATCACCTGGACTAGGTCTAAGGAACCCTCATCCTATAGATGAGGTGAGCCAACAACTTCACTTGATAGATGAGGAAATGGAAGCTGTGAAGGGGAGGAAGCAATAGTGTAGCATAAGAGGAGCATTGGGTTGACAGTCAAGTGACCTCTTCTGTCTGCCTCTAAGGTCCCAGTGGTAACCCCTGTGATTGGGCAGTAAGGAGGAGAGCCAGGATTTACGCTAGGTCCTCTGGCCATGATCCTCTGTCCTTTCCACTATGAAACAGATGCTCCATTCTGAGGTGCTGAGTGATGGAACCATACAACATTTCCAGGTGAATTTGCAAACGTGTAGCAAAATAAGACAATCCTTTGAACATTGGATGAAAATATCTGCTTATTCATGGCTCCCTATTAGAGCGTCTTGTCCAAGATTAGCAGGCATTATTATCTCCCATTTTAAAGATGAAGAAACTGAAGCTCATTCAGGTTACATGATTGCTCATGGTCACATATCTCCCCAGGGAGATGAGAAAACTGAAAAACAAACAGAGACAGCAGAAAAAACAAACTCCTCAGAGTACAATTATTTTAAATTCCTAATTGATTTTGTTTGACTTAGTTCAAGAGCAGCTTTAGGAAAGCTGGGGTAGAGAAAGAGCTGACAAGATGAAATGTGAAGGGGGCGTTGAAATTCCATCAAGCCAGATGCTCTATTCTCACCAGGCTCTTCTATCTCTCCTGTGCAGGTCTCTACTCCCAGCGTCTGATATGTGAGCATGACTGTGTGAGGGAGCTCGCCACATGGCCTGGACAGCTCTCTCCCATCGAGAACTTCCTCCCTCTTCACTTTGACTACCTACAGTTCTCCTATTATCAAGGTGAGGGGTGCACAAAGATGGTGCTCAGACCTTCTCTGTGGTCCTTTCAGGGGAAAGCAAGCTTGATGTGAGTCAAGAAGGTGATGTGACCGCTGGGTAAACTGGTGGGATTGCAAGCTGCCTTCAGAGAGTCAGAGAGTTCAAGACCAAGGAGGTGATGGTCTCTAGCTTCTGCCCAGGTCAGACCACCTCTGAAGGCCCTGAGCTGCGGATGCCATGGGACAGGATACAGTACTGACATTGATAACCTGGACAACCCGCAGAGGAGAGAGCCTGACAGGCTCCCTCAAGGCACTGACAGGCCTTGACTTCATGCCATTAGAGGGTGACAGATAGGAGAGCTGTTTGCAAGGATTGGCACACTTACTCTGCTTAGCCTAAGAGGTCAGAATGAGGAGTGATGGGAGAATGTTGCAAAAAGGACAATTTAAGTTTAACACCGATAAAATCTCCTTGGATGTCTCCAAGCCAGGCTAGATGACTGCTTGTTCTATATGTTGTAGAGGGGATTGGGCTTTACAACAGGCTACCAAGATCTCTTCTGAGCCCAAAATTCTTCCTTTCTCATTTGTTAAAATGAGGGGGTTGTATTAAATGACCTTTATGGTCCCTTCAAACTTGTCTAAACCAAGTCTTCTGGGCATCTTCTCTGTGGCTGTCAGGGTACGTAACACTTGAGCACCTCCCTAGCAGCTGTACATGTTCCATTAATGCCTTTGCCACTGCGAGCATGGTGGCAGGTTTCCTTGCCTCCTGGGATCACTGGGGAAAGTGACAGCTTTATAGCCACAGCCTACATTAGGAAAACTACCTTGTAACAGTGTCTTTCATGGTCATATTCTTTGGAGGTGCACAGATACCTCTTAAAATAACAAGCAGAGTATGAATTGACATTTTTGGCCTACTCTCATGAGCTTTTCTACCCAAAAAAGCAAAACACAGCCTCTTCTTCAGGGACCTGTTGCACAGTAAGTCATATTTTGGACAGTATTTGACAAAAAAAAAATAGAAAGATTTTGAGTGAGTCCTAGAATTCAGGTGTTTTTTAAAGTCTTAAAAAAAAAAGAAAGAAAGAAAAAGGTCACTGCCTGAGTACTCTGAATGCTCTATTGTCTTACATTCAAGAGGCTAATTTAGGTATTGGAGAGATGATGAGCATCCCTAATGTTCACCAAGAAATCACGTCGAAGGAATTCTTGTAGGCCCACCTTACTTATGAGCCAAGAGAGGGGGGAAGTGAAACCCAACGCCCACACATTTACAGTGTAATTTGTTGAAGGTTGTGTTATAGCCTCCCAGATCTCAGATGGAGAATGAAAGGCCGCCAAGCCTCCTTGATATTCCTTTGCAAAAGGCACACTCACTTGGGCCTGGGGAGCTCCTTGTCCTCCACTGGCATAAACATGCTGCAACAAACCCCAGCATCCACCCAGAAGGTCATAGGATGACTCTTCAGTATTTATGGTAAATACATGTTGAGGCCAGGTTCCTTTCACTCATACAGAGAAAAAGTTCCATGTCTGATGTCATGTCTTTTCAGTAGTCTCATTTTTTGAACCTTAAAAATTTAAGAGTGCTAATTGGCCAAGGCAAAGTGCCTGGGCATGTGAACATCTGAGCTCCAAAAGACTGGTCTTTTGGGGCAGCTTGATCTTGGTACACTTGGAAGACCATTAGTGGCCTCAGAACTGAGGGGGCTGTTACCTGAAGGGAAGTCTATGATGACTAGTTTCTCAGAATTAGCCTAAGGATGACTAACATTGCAATCAGAGATCTTTAAAGACTTACAGTAGTCTCAGGGTGGATGACCTGTCCAGTGAACATATTAATAATTATTCTGAGAATGAACAACCTTGGGAGAATCTGGCATTTCAGAGCATTTCAGGGGAGCTCATTTAGCTTCATGCATAAGTTACAAAAAAATGAAAAAAAAATGAAGAAACTGCAAAGTTAGCACACACCCTATGAAATTAGAACCAACCATCCTTCGATAAAAAGCAGTATCTCAACTTGTACACGAACAAGATTCAAGTAAAATATGCTTAATGTAAATGTTTCTTCTGCTTGGGAAGAAGTCTCCCCCACTTGGGAAGAAGTCTCCCCCACTTGGGGTCCCCCACCTGTGGCATCTGCACTGCCTGGAATGTTCTGCCTTCCCTTCTGCCTCTGTTTCCCTACCTTCATTCCACACCATCCTGTCCATGAAATATTAAGTGCAGGGACTTGGGGCATTGTTTGGCCCCACTTGAACAAGTACAAAATCATACTGAGTAGCCTCTGAAACCATGAGATGGGCTCTAACGTCCATATGGCACAGGTCAGATAAAAAGGCCTTCCAAGGCACACGAGAGAGCACACTTGTTTGGAGTGTACTGTTCTACTGGAAGTAGGTCAGTAAGCATTTATTAAGTGATTACTACTAGTTAATGTTATGCAATCTCAACTTGACCCTCCCTACAGCTTAAAGAGATAGATGGCACTTCTCCTCACCAACGTGAACCCTTTGGCATCCCCGTTTGCTACAATCCCTTCTGTCATCTCCAGCAGATTTTTGCCACTATTGCCCCACTCTCTCTCTAATCTTCCCACTTTCTGTTCCTAATGACTCCTTTCCTGATGCCTTCAAATATGCCTGCTTTTCCCTGTCTTTAAAAAAACATCACTTGATCTGACCATCCCTGCTAGCTATTGTCTTATGTGTCTTTTGCCTTTCTTGTCTCAACTCTGTGAGAAAGTTGTCTACGCTGGGTGACTCCCTTTCACCTTATCTCATTTCTTAAACCTGAAACTTCTGCATCACTCAACTGAAACTGTGCTCTCCAAAGTTGCTAATGGCCTCTTAATGGCCGAATCTAATGGGCTTTTTCCAATGGTCATCCTTCTTGACCACTCTGCAACCTTTGACAATCTGGACCACTGTCTCCTCCCTGATTCTGTCTTCTCTCTAGGTGTTCATGACACTGCTCTCTCCTTATTCTCCTTCTTCTCTGACTGCTCCTTCTCAGTTGCCTTTGCTAGCTTTTTGGCCAGGTCACTCCCACTAACCGTGAGTGTAGCGCAGGAGTCTGTCCTGAATTCTCTTCTCTGTATATATTACTTTGCTTGCTAGTCTCATCATTTTTCATGAGTTCAATTGGCATCCCTATGCTGATGATTTTCACATCTGTATATCTACCCCTTCTCCCTTTCTTGAGTATCGCGTTACCAACTGCTTTTTTGGAATGGATGTCTCACAAACTGAACACGTACAAAAGAGACATTCTTTCCCTCATGCCATCCTTTCTTCTGAATGTTACTGTTATTGTTGAAAGCACCACCATCCTCCAGGTCACCAGGCTCATGACCTCACTGTCACCTTTCCAGTCATCCCATACCTTCGATCACTTGCCAGATCTTGCAATGCCCCACCCCCTTCACAACATTTCTTATATGCATACATTTGTTCTCCTCTCTCCTTGGGCAACCTCGCCATCCTTCATACCCTCCTGACTCTCTCTCCGTGTACAACAATAGCCTTCTCTCTAGTCCCACACCGCAAGTCCCTTCCCACCACAATCTAATCTTTGTTTGGTTCCAAGGGTGACTTTTCTAATACATGAGTCTGAGCTCGTCTTGTCCCTTAACCCTTCGCCATCCCCAGCTTGTAGAGGTCCAGTGAACCCCTTACCAATAACACCAAACATGTGACCTTTTGTTCGGTATTTAAAGCTTTTTTATGAACTGGCCCCTCTTACCCTTTCCAGTCTTCTCGTTCCCACTCCCTCCCCATGCGCTATGATCTAGCCACCCTGACTCACTTGGGGTTCCCAGAAATCACCACTGCATCCCCCAGCTCTGGCATCTGCACTGCCTGGAGTGCTCTGCCTTCCCTCCTGCCTCTGTTTCCCTACCTTCATTCTGCACTCAGGTCGCATCTCACCTTCTTCAGGAGGCCTTTCTAGGTCCCCACCTCTCTGTATCTTACCTCCAGTTATGCTATAGGCTCCCGGCACTTAATGCTGTGGGACACTAGTAAGGGCTTAATACATACTTGTTGACTGAATTTGCCTGGTCCTGTGCCAAGTGCTGGGATGCAAAGAAAGGCAAAAACATGTTCGCTGATCTCAAGGAGTTCCCAGTCTAATGGGGGATATGACATGCAAATAACAATCTACGTGGACCTCCAAACACGGTATAATTCCATGAAGGTGGAAGCCCCAACAGCTGGGAGACGGGGGAGAGATCTGGAGAAAAGACCCCACCTAGGAAGCCAGTGGATGCTCTCATTATACCTGGTATTTCTCGACCTCTGTCCTCATCCCGTTTTCTCAATGATTGTCATTGTCTCTCTGTCTTTCCTGCCTGTTTCAAAGTTTCTCCTGGACTCATTGGGTCAATTCCAGTTGGCTCTAATACCACACCTTTCTGCTTTTCCCCAGTTGGCAACTATGTGAAAGCCCTGGAGTGTGCCAGGGCCTACCTCCTATTTCACCCGGATGATGAGGATGTGCAGGACAATGTGAAGTACTATGAGAGTGTGTTAGAAGAGAGCATGGACCCCCAAACCATCAAACCTAGGGAGGTGAGTCCAATGCTTCCATTGGCCATGGGCCCATCATTGCATGTGCTGTGGTTTGGATCTGTGTTGTCACATCAACAACAGTTTGATCATCTACATTGTCATCATGGAAACTGGCACCAAGGTGGCCCAGTGGAGAGGGTGCTAGGCTTGGAGTCAGGAAGACCTGAGTTCAAATCCTGCCTCAGTCACTTCCTTTATCCATTATCCTTGGTAAATCATTTAACCTCTCTTGACCTCAGTCTCTTCATCTATAAAATGATGAATTGGACTCTGAGGTCCTGCACAGTTCTAAATGATGCTATCACCTGACATACAAGGCAGGTACAGAAAAGGTCACTTTATGGTTTTGTTTTTCATAAATGCACATCATGTTAATGCCTAGAAATTCCACCTTCCCAAGGCATGCCTAGCCAAGTTTGGACAGGCTCCTTCCACCTGTCGGCGGAGTCACAAGGAGATAGGTGTCTTGGTCTCAGAAAGTCCTCAGGTCTACAGGGCTGCAATTGGCCTGGGGGGTGGGCAGTCTTCAGAGCAGTGACATCACAGGTCTTGGACGATATCAAAGTCAGGCTGACCCCCTTCTACTGTGTGGAAGCTACATTATCTCTGCTAAGTCTTGCTTTGTCAAAACAAGGCAAGGAAGAGGTGCATTTTTAGGACAGATGGCTTAAAACACACACACGCACACACACACACACACACACACACACACACACACACACACATGCACACACATTGTTCTTTATTTGAATAAATTCTGTTTGTCCTGGCCATTGGAAAATTCACCTTACACCTTACCAAATGTTGACATTCACATGCCCTGCCTTTTTGTTTCTTTGTTTTTGATTTGTTTTGTTTTGTTTTTAGGATGCTACAATATTTATGAAACGGCATAGACTTGAATCTGAGCTTATCACGTCAGCTGTGGTCCACCTAGGCATTCCCTACACTGAACAGGTAAAAAAAAAGTCATTTGTCTTCCTCACTGTTTATGGGGAGAGATAATTAGTTTCTCTTTGTTTTGCCATCGTTTCTTTATGTATACAAAATGGGAGCATTCCTGGGCTTTGGAGCTTAAAGGGAAGTTTGTGATCATCCAATAGCTTTCAGAGAGGTGGAGTGACTTGTCCAAGGTCACATCCTAGTTTCAGATCCAAGACTCATATGGATCTCCAGGATCCCAGGTCACTGGTGTTCCCATGGTGCCATCTCCTGGTACCAGAGCTCCATAGGGTGGAAGTTATCTCTGAGGTCCTCTGGTCTGAGCCTTGGTCCATGACACCTCCCTAGGCATTTGGTCCTGAAGGTTGTTACAGGAGAAATGCTGAGTTCATGAAACCCTGGGTGGTGACAAAGCTAGCTTGCTTCTCTTTGTGCCTTCCACTTTGTCCCCTCACTCGTGCCATCACTGAGATGACACCAAGTGCCCTGGTGCTTCACTGGCCACAGTACCTGACTGTCTTTGGTCCTGGTCACAGCCTCCATGGCAAAAACAACTTCCAGTCTCTGGGCCCATTTTAACATCTGGCTTCATGAGCTATTCAGAATTCAGTTTCTTAGTTTCTGATCTTTGCAAAAGAGAGACAGAATGTGGTTGAGAATACAGAGCTGACCTTATTGTCTTAAAGACCTGAGTTCAAGTCTCACCCCTGACACATACAACATGACCCAAGAGAAGCGATGTACACCTTCAGTGCCGTGGCAACTCTGTGAGACTGTAAGTGCTGGACATTTACCAATAGGCAAGGACAGAGGGAATTTGCTCACTGGGAGCTCCCCATATCAATGTAATCACAGGTGTGCCCAGGTGTGCCCCTCATTTTTTTAAGGAACGTGTGTTAAAGATAAAGTTACAAAGTGGTTTGTTTTCCTTATTCTCCCTTTACGCCAGAATTACTGGACCCACGGTGGAGGACGACAGGAAGAGCCTCAGTGAGTCATTTACTTGGCATATGAAGTGCATCTTGGTGGGGCTGGAGAGTGGCAGAGAGTGGAAAGGGCTTGCAGGCATGCCCCCATCTTAAGAAAAATGAGGTTCCGGAAATCAGAAGCCACAAATTAAATCACTTAGGGAGTTATAAATAAATTTATTCCCATAGACCCCTCTAAATTTTTAAATGATGCTTTCTCCTTTTAAATGATAATTCCCCATACTACCTTTGAGGATTTAGTTTCATGAATTCCTTGAAAAAGAAAGTGAGTGGAGAGTGTTCTCAGGAGCAGAGAGGCCTAAAGCTCCAACTAATGGAGACTCTAAAGTAGAGTTTTGTGTCAGTGGGAAAATCGAGTTGCATTTATGCATTTTTGGAAACAATAACAGCGTGAGCCCGATCATGACATGGAGGTGATGCTGGCCCTGCCAGTGGAGCAACAGCTTTGACATGTCCCACAAGGTAGTCAGGACCAGCCCAGAGCAGTTCGAATGGGCTCATTCTGGTGGCTGGCTGCGGGTATTCAGACATACACCAGCAGCAATGAAGGGCTGCCATTTTGGCATCCTGGAGGGCTGATGTCATTGCTCATGGCTCTGTCCTGCGCTCAGATCCCAAACCCAAGCATAGCTTCTTCATAAGGACAATCCACCCCCTCTGCATATCTGCCCCTTCCTCTTCCCCCACCCCATTCAATGAGATGCAAGCTTCCTCTCCCTTTGGGCACAGGGTCCTTTCAGAGATGGGAAGCAGGATGACCGAGGCTCCTGAGCAGTCTGTGGGGAAGCAGCCCGTGCCTAGGCTGGAGCGGGACCTTCGAGAGGGTAAGTGCGGGCATCAGCTGCTGTTCACCAGAAGGGCGCTCAGTGCCGGGACCCTGGTGATGCACAGAACGAAACACCTTCCCCCAAAGGGCTCCCAGCAGCCAGGTGGGATGAAGCCTGCCCAGGACAAGATGAATACGAGGGAGCAACTGTCGGGGGAAAGAAAGACATAGGAGGCAAAGTTCTCTAGAGAGAATTGAAAAGGGAGAAGATACTTTCAGTTGAGGGAATCGGGGAGGGCTTCATGGAAGAGGCAGCACCTGAACTGAGACTCGAAGGGAAGAATTTCAACAGGCAGAAATGAGGAGGAAGGTATGTCCCAGTCTGAGAGGGGCAACTGCAGGGAGGTAAGAGACTTCAGGGTAGGATTGCAGACTCTCTCATCCTCATCCAGCCTGGTTGGAATGTAGAGAAAGAAGGGAATCCACACCCTGAGGCGGGCAGGTACACCTGAGGCTGCCCCGCCTCCCCATGGCCTCATTCTGAACCCCTGCATTCCTGGGGAGCCTCCCTGAGCCCAGTTCCCTATTAGACCTTTGCTCTGATGGTGCCAGGTGTAGAATCAGGAAGGCCAGAGTCCAAAGCCGGCCTCAAACACTCTGACTGTGACCCTGGGCAGGTCTTTAATTTGTCTTCATCAGACTCAGTTTCCTCCTCTGTGAAATAGGGGGGCTGGGCTCTTCAGGTTGGGGTATGATCTTCTGAGAAGCTCCCTCCCTTGGGGTCCGAGGGTCCCACAGGCATCAGACCCTCACTGAGCTGGGACAGCTGATGTCCCTTAGCTGTGTGTCTGCCTCCCCCTTCTATGCATCCTCTGGGAGATTTCTGACCCCTCCCCAAGGCTGGTCAGGCTCGGAGGCTCGGTGCTCCCTCCACCCCATTTACTTCCGGGAATGCGCCGGTCCAGCTTCTCTGAAACCTGTTTAGGTTTTCTGTGTCAGGGTCCCTTAACTTTGACAGCCACATACCAGCTTGGCAACATTAGTGGCACACTACAGATCAAGCAAGAGTTACAGAATTGGGAGGAGAGAAACAATGCTAGATGTCAGGAGCAGACGGATGGCCACTAACTCAGAGGTCCCACCAGGACCTGGTGCATTCCAGCAAGCTCTGTGGGGTCATGTGGAGAGCAGGCCCTTTTCGTGAAGGTTTACAAAGCACTGTTGTGACAGCAGCCCTTTGGGCCAGGCAGAACAGGTATTGGTATCCCCACTATACAGATGAGGAAACAGGTTTCGCAAGGGTCAGTGGCTTTCCCAGAGTTCTGCAGCCACTGCTCAGGCCTTTGCCTCTGAAATCGAAGTCCCTAGAAGGGTGGCATCCAAGGTCAGACTCTGTGCCCTCATGCCCAGGCCTACCTTGTCCACAGCCAGCCTGGGTGTAGGGCTAGTCGAGGAAAGCTTTTTGAAGGAAGTGGGATTGGAGCTGGGCCTTGGAGCAGGTGGGATTGTCAGAGGGGAGGGAGGAGCACATGCCACATAAGCCAATGTGTGGAGGTGGGCAGAAGCATGACAGGTGTCAACAAGGCATTTCATGCTGAGGGATCTTGGGAGACACTGGGCACTCTAGGGACCTGGGAGGCCACTAATTTTAAAGATGTGGAAACTGAGGCCCAAGCAGGTGATGTGACTCGCCCAAGATCACATAGGTAGCAAGCCTCAGGAGCAGGACTTGAACCCAGTGCCTCTGCATCAGAAGACAAGGAGTCCTATCCCGACTCTGAGACTCACTAGTCATGTGACCATGAGCAGGCGTTTCAAGTCTCTAAGCCTCAGAATGAGAAAGATAATTTTTCATCAAGATGTCGGGACAACAGTGGCTCTTAAGCGCGTGAAGTCCCATTCGAGCGCGAGCTGCGATTATAGCAAAGGACGCTGGAGACAACGAAGGGCCTTGACTGGCAGGCTAAAGCCTGGTCAAGTCAGCAGGCTTCTATTAAGCACCTACTGTATGGTATGCAGTGGACTAAAATGCTGAGATGAATTGCCGTAGAAAGTGGGTTTCACTGGGCTAGGGGGCCTACAAGCTCTTCTTGGCTTAGAAGAATGGACAGATATGTCTATCCTGGAAGAATAAAAAAATAACATCTATGATGCAAAGCTTGCTTCCTCACCGGTTTTTGTGGCCCTTAGATAACACAGGACTTTTAGTTCCTACCTTGGCCTTTGGCACCAGGTTCAGGGTAGAACCTTGTCCTGGACCTCTACAAATGGGAGGCCTGCCGCTCCCCTGATTTCCTGGCTCTTCCCTTCCTCTGAGGAAGGTGGAGGCATCAGAATGTATAATATCTCCCAGTCCCCTGAGCCTCTGGCTATGCTCATTCTCAGCCACAAGCCAGCTGGGCCTCCGCTTCCTCCCTGAAGTTGTGGTCATCCAGAGGTCAGTGACTTTGTCCAAATGGGGAAAAAAAACCACCCAGGAAGTAGTGGCCAAATCAGCACTTTTCTGTAAAGGTTTGGGCAGCCCCAGAGAAGCTGCCAAATTCCAAAGCCCAGCATTAATTACCAGAGCCTCTGGTGCCATTGTGGGGACAGTGCAGGGGACAGGAGGGGCAGAGTTGGTGGGAAGGAGGGAAACCCTTCGTGCTCAGGCAAGGCCCACCTTTCCAGCTCTTCAGACCTGGGGCTACACCAGAAGCTGGTCTCATCAAGCCTTCCCCGATGGGGAGCCTGGCAATGCTGCTTTGTCACTCCTGCTGCTGGCTTAACGCCAAGGAGGGATAGTAAAAGGCTTGGACCGGGTGACTATTCTCCAGCTTTCTGTGGCTGGGGACTCTACTGGTCCAGAGCCATCTCTCCCATCGTCTCTTGCAGATAATGTCAGTTTCCCTCATCTCTAGATGAGAGGCATCATGGATCTTAGCTGTCAGTCTCCCTCGTCTCTGGACGGGAGGCATTGTGGGCAGATACTCAGCTGCCTCTTTTCTGGATTCCCACCCTCTCTCTCTGCTTTCCATCCTTTGCTTTCACTGGAAGCAGTGTTTGCTCAGCCTTTTGGTAGCCCAACTTGGCATAGCAGCCCTGGGCCTGGCCAAGCCACATTACAGGGACGACTTCCCTCCTCTGCTCCCTTCCCTGATACTGAGACTAGCAGTTCAGCAGACGCAGGGCCAGGCGCATACCTTGAGCATGACACAAGGCTGCTCTGCCTGAGCTGGACAGCGGCAGCTCCATGACCAAACTATCCCCACCAACCACAGCTCATTGGATGGCCTCCTTGTTTTCATTCCTCAGTTCGTCTCTGTCTGCTTGCTCTGGCCCTCCTTCCAGAGCAGTCCTCAGAATGTGTGAGGCGCGTGCCTGGGTGCATGTGTGGGAGTATACGTGCGTGCCTATCTATATCCCATGTATTGAACCGTGTTGAGATGTCACTACCGTTTTTCAGGGTATCATCTGTGCCTCTGGGGATGTTCAACAAAGGCAGGCTTTTGTATTGAGGGAGCCATGGACAACAGGGCTGTGTGTGTGTGTGTGTGTGTGTGTGTGTGTGTGTGTACATATGCATACATATATGCAGAATAAATATAAATAAAGTAGCTCAGTACAGGTTGTTGGGGGGGGCTAGCAGGGGGAAGCTCATCAAGGCTTTTTGGAGAAGAAGGCTTCTAAGCTGGGTCTTGAAGGAAGAGAAGGACTTGGAGATGAGATGAGTGGGGAGTTCATTCAAGGCAAGACAGCATCATGTGTGAGGGGCAGAGGGGAGCCACGTTGGCAGGATCACAGTGTACAGGAGAAAGAGCACTGCCAATGACTCTGGGAAGGCAGGTTGGGCAATGCCAAGGCAGACATTCAAGGAAATTCCTCATTCTTTATACTAACAAATGGGTAGAGCCTTTGAGAGATGCTTGTCTCCATAGAGATGGTCATGGAGACAATCACAGATGCTTTTAGTCTCCCGAAGGGCTGGCATTAGGTAGAGAGAGCAGATGGGTTGAGCCAGATCCTTGGGTTGGAGGAAAGGGCAGGGCTGCCAATGTTAAAAGTGGATGGTCTGGAAGGCAGGGTCATATGTGGCCCCAAAAAAGGAGAAAAGCTGGAAAACAAAGTTAAATCAGCTTAAAGGAAGCCGTTATCACACAGGGAGCCAAGGGTTTGAGCTGGGAAAGCCAGAAGACCTAGAAAGTATCACCAAGCATGAAAGCAGCCATTAATGGGAAGTTGAGACAAGACTGGGCATACTGAGGCAGGGATGGGGGCAGAGGCCGATCACCGTGATGAGCCAACGAAGCCTTGATCAGGAAACGCAAGGAGAACTAATGAGACTAGTTTCTTCCTAATGGTTTTGTCAGCCTGGGAGCAATTTCATCAGCTGGCCAAGGTCAATCTGAGCCCGATGAGGTGGGGCCCTAGAAATGTAGACAAGAAGCCATGGGGAGAAGCTAAGGTCACTGAGGATAAAAATGCTTTGGTTTTGCCTTTCTGTCCTCTGTGCCTTGGATGAAATGCGTGCTTAACAAATGTTTGTGGGATGGATGGATGGAAGCGGAAAAACAAAGCCATTTTGTTTCAGCTTAAGAGAAAACTTCCCACCAGGTAAGTTATCCAAGAATAGAATTTGCTTCCACTAGTAAGCTCCCTCCTATAGAAACAACCAAAGTAATAGTTAGCATTCCTGTGGCATTTTAATGTTTCCAAAGCGCCTTCTGCATGTTATTTTCATTTGATCCTCACAACACTGCTGTGAGGTAGGTGGTATCATTGTCGCCATCTTACAGATGAAGAAACTGAGGCAGAAAGGTGAGGTCATGTGGCCAGGATCTCACAGCTCATAACAGTCTAAGGGGAGATTCAAACTGAGGTCTTCCTGATTTCAAGACCAGGATTCTGTCCTCTACACCATGCAGATTCTTGACCTGGGGGTCCATGACTTTGCTTGTGATTGGGTTTTTTGTTTGTTTTTCAGTACTTTGATAACTATTCCAGAATAATTGGTCTTCTCTGCAATCTTGTGTATTTTATTTGACATATGTAAACAAAGTATTCTGAGTGGGTCTGCAGGCTTCACCAGACTCCAGAGGAGTCCATGACACCAGAAGGGTTAAAAACCCCTGGTCTAGAGGGATTATAGATCAGATGCATGCTAAGTTATGAGGTTGAGCAGATGCACTCTGAGCTCCTTTCCAATTCCATGTGGTTATTAATCTAGGCCTTCTCTGATTTGGAAGGAGAAGCTGATCCCTTCCCCTGCTTCTTTTCCCACACACCCCAGCCCCACACAGACTCTAACTGTGCTTCCAGGCCCCTGGCCCTCTGCTCTGGGCTTGCTCAACAACTGTCTGTCCCTGCAGGGGGGCCGCTGCTCTACAGCCACGTGAAGTTTGTTTATAACTCAGAACAGCTGAACGGAACCCAGAGGATGCTGCTCGATAATGTCTTGTCGGAGGAGGAATGCAGAGAGCTCCAAAGCATGACCAGTGTAAGTGCCGAGGAGGGCAGCAGGGTGTCTGCTTGGTGTCTGGGCTGAGTGGAGGGAGCTCCTCTTTTTTCTTGCTTTCCTCCCTCAGCTTGTGGCTCCTTCAGGGCTAGGGCAGGTTAGCTGGCACCACTTGGGGATGAAAGGTCAGGGGAGTGCTTTGTGTTCAGTTCTAGAGGCCATCATAAGCCAGAAGGAAAGTGACCAGGATGGTGAAGGTCTTTGTCATGTGAGGACCCTTGAAGCCTGAAGAAGAAGGGGCAGAGGCTAGAAAGCAAAAGGGTGACTGACATCTTTGGGGATTCAAAAGGCAGAAGAATTCCACTTGACCTTAGAGGGGAGGACTAGGTATAGTGGGTGAAACTTTCCCAAAATTGGATTGAACCTTCACATAAGGAAAATCCTCTCAAATATAAGTGCCATCCCAATGTATAATGGACCCTCCCTTACTGGTGGTCTTCAAGCAGAGACAGAACATAATATTTGGTAGAGGGGACCCCTTGTCTGATATGGTAGAGGTTGGGTGCCAATGGAGATGCCTTCCAATGCTGACATTCTGTGATTCTCTTGGAGTCTTTGGGGCTGAGTGGTCTTTGAGTGGGGAGATTGGGCCATGACTTCTGGTGAAGGAGCCCCAGTCCCACTCACCTACCTCCCCGGCAGTTCAGTGAAGATTTAAAGGGCAACATATGGGAAAGAGAAAGCCGTGCCCATGTGAGATAGCATCGTCACTCGCCCTAATGTGGCTCTGTCTCTGTGTTTTGCTTTCAGAGAATAATGCTTGCTGGCAGTGGGTACCAAGGGGAAGTTTCACCCCTCACTCCCAATGAGAAATTTGAAGGTGCCACCATCCTAAGAGCCCTCAAGGTAAAGTATTCAGTATTCAGCTGAGATTCCTAAGGATCATCCAGTGGATGGGACATCTGAGAAACATGGCCTTGGTGAAGACAACATTCTCTGGTCATTTTTCAGGAGGTGTCCAAGTAGTATCATTGACCAAATGCTGGGTCAGCTGAGTTAAAATCCTGCCTCACATACTTACTACAAGTTTGGCTCTCGGCAAGCTGCTTAACCTCCCTGGGCCTCAATTTCTTCATCCGTAAATTGGAGATAATAGATTGTACTTCATAAGCTTGACATGAGGATCTGGCAATATACGTAAACTGTTTTACAAACCTTAAAGCACTTTGTAAATGTTAATTATTGTTATTTTTCATAATAATATTCTGGTAATGTTCACACACGTAGCCATAGACATGCTCTCAGGCCAGGGCACGTCAACGTGGTAGATGTTCAGTGTTCAGTAACTTCTGGGGTCCAGGACCTTCCTGGGGATCCAGGGTCCCCCTCAATCAGCATCACTACAATATTCTTGCCCCAGGCCTGGGATTTCAGACACCAAAGTAGTTTCTCTTCAAGATTTCACCACCTATGAGGCCTTCTTGGTTGTCTCTTCAAATGGTTCCCTGAGAACCCCCAAACTCCATGAGCCAGTAATGTTCCCCTCAGTTTATAAATGGATACATCGAGCCTAGAACACAGGAAACATTCCCTTACCTAACATTTATCTAACAAGATTATGAGAGGCAAGAGGAGGATTTACAGTCAGAAGCCAGGGTTCGAATTCCAGCTCCCTGTGTTAATTGTGAGTGAGTCATACGATATCCCTGGCCTGGGCGTTTCTCATCTGTCAAAGGAAGGGGGTGTGCTAGATGACTTCCAGAGGCCCTCGCAGCTCAAAATCCCTGCTTGGTGCCAGATCTTCACTTAGATTCTCTTCTTTCCGGGCAGCTCAGTGGTTTCTTCTTTCTCTTCAGTTTGGCTATGAAGGCCGAGTACCCTTGAAGAGCGCGAGGCTGTTCTACGATGTCAGTGAAAAGGCCCGCAAAATCGTCCAGTCTTACTTCATGCTGAACTCTACCCTCTACTTCTCCTTCACTCACCTGGTTTGTCGAACGCCTCTGTCAGGTGAGTCATTGGGGCCAAACCCCAGTGGTTTCCCTACTAAATTCAATGAAAATGTCTTGGAGAATAAACTGTGAAAAACAAACTAGAGGAAGGTTTTCTAGAGCTCAGAAGTCATTAAAGTGAATGATTTGTCCTGAGCACGATTTTCCCCTTTTTCCCACTTTTCATTTTTGTTAAACAAGGTTCAAAGCACCAGCTGGGACATTTCTTCCTTCCTGTGTGTTTCCCAAATGGATTTTGTGAGTGAACTCCTAAATCTCTTTATTTAATCATAATCTCTTAATGGACCATCTTTCTCTCTGCTTTATAACCTCTAACCCTGTTCTTTGTCCTTGCTGAGACCTCCAGTCCCTCTGTCCTCAGTTATTTCCCAGGCCTTCACCCCTGCTCTGGCTATACCCTCTTCCCTTCTCTATCTCAACCCCCTTGGCCAGTATATTCAACTCTCTGCTGTGCTCTCCACTTGCATTCCTGTTTCCCTTATCTAAGCCATGATTTTGAATCATTCCCAACTTCCACTCGCTTCATTTCTACCCACTGACCACTGAATGAAGGTAGAGCAAATCTTGGGGCTTCTGTGTGTACCTGCTACAAATTTATGGTCCATGGTCCCTCTGGGTTCTCACTGCACCCAGGCTATTCTCTGATGGATATACTCTCCCTGTCACCACAGTGGCTTTTCCCAACCTTTTCACCCCTGCCCTAGACTCCCCACCCTGCACTCCCAGTACCCTTCCCCCCCCTCGCCTTCTCAGTTGAAGACCTCACCTCATACTTCAATGAAATATTTGAGGCCATTTGCTGAGGGGCCCCTCTCCTTTCCTCCCCTTAATTCACACCACTCAGGTGCTTTGTGCCGCTATCTCCTCTTTCACCTCTTTCTCTTGTGAAGTAGCTGTTCTTCTGGCCAAGGCACCCACTTGTATGGACCTCTGTTCCTGTCTTCTCCAGCTGATTCTCTCTCCCCTTTCTGGTCCCCACTGTTTCTCACAGTCTTTCTCTTTATATGGCCCTGGCTTGTTCCCTGCTGCCTACAAACACACCCGTGTCTCCCATTTGCCTTAAAAATACTCCATTTGATTCAACAATTGCCCTTTGGCTATCATTCTCAAACTTTCCCTTTTTTCTTGGCTAAACTCCTTGAGAAAATCATCTTTACTTATTGCCTCCACTTCCTCTCCTCTCCTGCCTCCTGAACCCTTGCAATCTGACTTCTGGCCAGACAGAGATTATCTTCTCCAAAGGCATGGATGATCTCCTAACTGCCAAACCCCATGGCCTTTTCTCCCTCTTAATCCTTCTGGACATCTCTGAAGCCTTTGTCAATGCAAGTCATCATTTCTTCCTAGACACTCTCTCCTCTCCATTTCTGGGATCCTACCGCTCTCTGTGATTCTCTTCCTTCTTGTCAGACCCCTGCTTCTCAGATTTCTTTGCTGAATCTTTGCCCAAGTCATGCCCACTGACAGTGAGTATCCTCCAGTCTTCTTCTCTTATCTCTGGCTTCTCTCACTTGGTGATCTCATCATCTCCCATGACCTCCATGATCATCTCTAATCAGGTGTTAGGCCTATTGAGCCAGGCCTAGTCTCTCTTCTGTCCTCCAGTCCCATATTTCCAGTTGCCTCTTCAATATCTGAAAGTGGATGTCCTTTAGGCATTTCCAATTCAAAGGCCAAACAGAACTCATTACTGACCTTCCCTCTGCCCAGCTCAAGCTCTCCTTCCCTTCTGCACTTCCTTATTTCTTACAAAGGCAGCATCTTGCCAGTCACCCTGGCTCAAAACCTTGGTCTCCTCCTTCAGGCCTCACTCACATTCACTCCATGTAGTTAATCAATCGTCAGGTAGGTGACACAGTGGATGGAGTGCCACTCCTCAAGTTAGGAAGACATGAGTTCAAATCTGGCCTCAGACATGAGTTGTGTGGCCCTGAGCAAGTTAATCCACTGCTATTTGCCTCAGTTTCCTCACCTGTAAAATAGGTAGCATAGTAATAGCACCTACCTCTCAGGGTTGTCAGTGTAAAGGCTTAGCACAATGCCTGGTACATAGAAATGTTACCCCTCATCACCTTCACCACCCCTCTCACCTAAGGCCCCTTCACACTGCCCCCATCCTGCTCCTGGTCCTCCTCACCTCTCACCTGGGCTAGTACAACAACCTTCTGTTTCCTCTCCACGCCACCATTCTCTGCTCACTCCAATCTGTTCTCCATGTGGCTGCCAAAGTGGTTTTCCTAAAGCCCAGCTCTGACTGTGTCCCCCTCACTACTCAGTACACTCCCTTAGCTCCTGATTAGTGGGTAGGTCAACAAGCATTTATTCAGGCCTTACTCTGAGCTAGACACTGTCTAAGCTATTGCCTTCATGATCAGATCCTTAGTTTGGCATTCCAAGCCTTTCTGGTCCTCTTCCACCTTATTCCCCTACGTGAACTCTGATTGGGTGACACTGACCTCCTTGCTCTCCCTCACCCAGGACACAGCATCTTCCAGCCATTTGAAGTGGTTGTCCACCCCCCACCCCTGTACCTGGAATATTCTTCTTCCTCCCCTCTGTCTTCTGGCTTCCCTGGACTCTTTTAAGACTCAGCTTCACTTATTAGCTGTGTGACCATAGGCAAGTCGGTCACTTAATCCCGATTGCCTAGTAAAACGCAAAAAGCAAAAAAAAAAAAAAAAAGACTTAGCCTCCACCGTCACTCCTATGGCCCCTGTGGCTTCTCTCTGGGGTTACATCCTATCGCACTGATTGTATCTCATATGTACATAATTCCTCACATGTTGTCTTGCTTATTAGAATGTGAGCTCCTTGAAGGCTTACTTTTTCTTTGTCCACAAGTTTTTACTGATGCCCTTTCTTTTCTTACATCACCAAACCTCCCCTCACCACCGGCCCTGTATTCCCTCTTTCAGAAAGCCAGCAAATTTAACAAATGCACACATCATGACTTTGCCTTTTTTTGCATTGCTAGTACCTGTCATACAGCAGGCACTTAATAGATGTTGTTGGCTAACTAGGCAGTGGTTCCCTCTAACATGAAAGGACCTACGAACAGCTCCCTTGTTGGATGCTGGGAAGGAGGAGAGAATGACTCCTGTAAAGGCAGAGACACCTCGATTGTCCTCGCCACCCACAGAACTTAAACAGTCATTGTCTTTGCAAAGCAAATGATATGGCCTCTTTCTTGGTGGGTGTGAAATGTCATCAGCTATGGAATCCTTCCCATGTGGTGACTTCCAGCATGAGATCTACTCCCAGGTTCATCCCCTCATCATTTCTAATGGGTCTCTTGTCTGCCCCATTCCAAGAGACATGATGGAGAGCAGGTAAGGAGAGGATCTCGTGCCGCACCTCAGCCCCTCTGCTTGTCGGGAAAGCTGCCCCGTCCCACTGCACCATGTCTCACTCTTCCTTGGTCTCCTCTCCTGGCAGATCAGCCACAAAATAGGGATGACCTCAGTCACCCCATCCATGCTGACAACTGCTTCTTGGACTCAGACACCAACGAATGTTGGAAGGAGTTTCCTTTGGCCGCAAGGGATTACAGGTACCACCTGGGATTAAAGGGCAAATGCACAGATGTTCTGTTGTCAAAGAGCCCTAGGAATCAGAGGCTGGGGAGGTTCCACCTGCCACTCAATCCTCCTCTCATGGAGGTTTGGATGACACCAAGGAATGCTGGCTAACCTTCATCCACCCACCCATGGGTAAAACCAAGTCCACTGGACAATGGAGAATAAGAGATCAGAAGGGGGAAGGGCGCAGGAGCAGAAACAGGAGTGGTCCTGGGCTCCTCCATCATCTCTGTTTCCAGCTATTGGGATTTTTGCCCCAATTCTTTCTTCCACAAGAAACTGATCAGATCAAATTAAGTCGAGAAGCATTTATTAAGCACCTGCTATATACCAGGCACTGTGCCAGGATCTAAGGATACAAAAAAGTCAAAGACAGGGTCTGCCCTCAAAGCTCTCACATTCTAATGGGAGAGACAGCAAACAACTAGGTATATCCAAGATCAATACAGACTGGATGGAGGGTAATCTCAGAGGTAAGGGCCTGTGATGGGGAGCCCCAGAAAGGCCTCCTGCAGAAGACGGAACTTAAACAGCTTCTTGAAGGAAGCCAAGGAAAACAGGAGATAGACGTGAAGGGGCAGGACATTCTAGGCATGGGAGGCAGCCAGTACAAAGACGTGGAGATTGGAAATGGAGCCTCACCTTGGAGGAACAGCCAGGGGGTCCCTGTGACAGAATCTTAGAGTACACAAAGGGAAATAAAATGTAAGAAGGACAGAAAGGCAGAAAAGGGACAGGATGTGAAGGCTTTAAACTGAAATAGAGGATTCGATATTTGACCGTGCATGTAACAGGGAGCCACTGGTGTTCATTGAGAAGAGGTTGGGTTACCATGGCCAGAAGTGTGGGCTAATGTCTATCTATCACTTTGGAAGATGAAAGGGGGATCTGTTGGCACACAGGGAGATCAGTCAGGATACTATTGTAGGAATCTAGCTGAGAGGCAATTGGGATCTGAAAGGTGGAATGGAGGTGACAGATGAAGAAGGTGGCAACAAGAAGGCATTGAAATGCTGATGAGGACAATGAGGGTCTGAGGAACAGCCCTAAGCTCCATCCCAGGGCGTGGTGATCCCCTCAGTAGCACTAGGCAGATCATGACTCACCTGCACGGGCTTTCCAGGCCACAGGAATGGCATAAGGGTGATCATGGCAGCCAGCCTCATCAGGGCCTTTGTCTTTCTTCTCACAGTGCCATCCTCTATATGAATGAAGACTTTGAAGGCGGAGAGTTCATCTTCACCAGCATGGATTCCCAAACTGTGACTGTAAGTAACCTTCCTCTTGGATGCCCCATTCTCTGCCCGGCTGCTACCATTTCCTAGAACTTCACAGCTTGGCTTCTTTCCATCTCTTTGGGGGCCCTATTACATCTCTTGCATTGATTATGGGGTGAAAGAAGTCCTGTGAATTCAGAACTCTGAGGTTGGAGCTGGAAAGGAACCTTGGAGATGTCTCCTACAGAATGTAAGCTGCTTGAGGACATATTTTTTGGGTATCCCCAACACCTAGGACAGTGCCTGGAACAAAAAGGATTAATAGGGTAGTGCATATTGACTATTAGTTGACGCTTTTTCCAACTCCCTCATTTTACAAATAGGAAATAGAGGCCCAGAGAGATTAAAGTGACTTGCTCAAAGTCACACAGCTATTTAATAACAGAGCTTGGGGGATTATTCAGGGCTTCTAATGCTTGGCCTGATACTCATCCTGCTACATCATTTTCCGAACACACCCCAATTCAGCCAATCTCAGAGCACCATCGAAGTGTGCCATGTGGACTTCTGGGGCATAACTTTTACACTATATTTGTGGCCCTGATGGAAGCAATACTTCCCTTTCGTTGGGAGAGTACTGTTGGCTTTTGGGAGTCATCTATCCCTGAGCATATCTGCTGTCTTCATAGCTAGAGATCAGTTAAAATTAACCAAACAGTACTTCCATGGACTGGCTAGCACTTCTGGAAACATTTGCCTCTCACCCTTATGGGCAGCATAATGATACTCCTAGAATCTCTCTGCAGATAAAGGCCAGGAAATCCTCCTCTCCACTCTTCAATAGCCCAACTCAAGCAATGGTTAGATAACACACTCTGAGGTACACACAAGAGAGTCTCAGGCTAGCATTCTATCTATTTGTGTAGAAGGGGCTCTGAGCTCTCAAAGGTGCTGATGAAGCACAAGCTGTGATCATCCTGCTAAGGACTGATTCCAAGTCTTGTAATGGATGGTAAGATGTTAGTTTACAAACCATCCTAGCTAATTTTGAAGAGACCAACTCCAGAAAACTGGTCTCCGGAGGATGATTGTTTTGGGGCAATAGCAATTCGCAAAAACCAATCTCCTAAAGCCTAAGGACTAATAGGCTTTAGTATTTAGTATTAGTGGAGAGAGTACAATGACTCATAGAATAAATCATGGAGCCTTGAAATCTAAAATAAATAAATATATATTTATATAACATATATGATATAAATAATATAATATAGTAATACGATATATAATAATATAATATATAAAATAGAAAGAAAGAGAGAGGAAGGGAGGGAGAAAAAGAAGAAAGGAAGAAAAGAAAGAAGGAAGGAAGAATGGAAGGAAGGACAGATGGAAGGAATAGAGAAAGGAAGGAAGAAAGGCAAAAAGGAAGAAAGACAGAAGGGAAGAAATAAAGGAAAGAAGGAGGAAAGAAAGGAAGAAACAAAGAAAGGAAGAAAGGAAGGAAGGAAGGAAGGAAGGAAGGAAGGAAGGAAGGAAGGAAGGAAGGAAGGAAGGAAAAGAAAGAAAGAAAGAAAGAAAGAAAGAAAGAAAGAAAGAAAGAAAGAAAGAAAGAAAGAAAGAAAGAAAGTCTTCCTGAAATTGACTAGAGTTGAAAATCCAGTGGCATGACAAAACATTATCTTCACTTTTCCTCCCTCTAGAGGCTAAATTTGGTAAAGCACAGAGGTTACTACAGACAACAAAGCATTGGTGGTCATGTTCAGCATCAATCCCTGCTACTTTCCAAGTTGTGTTGACAGGATTCATTTGGCAGCTCATTTCTGTCACTTATGAATGACTTTCTCCAGGCAATATTATCTTCCTTTGTGGGGCAAAAAAATGACACATTTACGCAACAATAACAATTATCATCCCACTGTGTATCTGTGCCTCACTCTATATCTCAGGTGGAGGGGATAAGGAAATAAGCATTTATATAGCACCTACTATGTGCCAGGCACTGTGCTATGTGCTTTTTTACAAATATTATCCCATTTGATTCTTTTTTTATTAATTTATTTTGATTTAGCAACAATCACTTCCATAAGTTTTGATTTTTAGATGTTTAAATGTTCATCATTCAGTTGATTGGTGTTAACCCAGGACTCAGGTTCTGGACACCAGGCTCACTTCCAACAAGTGTCAAAGCAGGAAAGTCAGTTGGCCAAGTCCACATAGGTGGTAAATGTTTGGGCCAGGATTTGAACCCAGGTATGAGCCATCTCTTCTTCTTCTTCTTCTTCTTTTTTTTGAGAGGCAATTGGGGTTAAGTGACTTGCCCAGAAACACACAGCTAGAGCAATCCTTTCTTCAATTAAATTACGTGATTATCAGTTTTATTTATTTAATACTTTTCAAATAAAACTTCCTGCTATTAAAATGAATGGACATAATGGGAAGTGGCCTCTGGAGAACAGATCAGGGTGAGGAGAATGATTTACACAATGACCACAATAACATGAAAGGAGATGAAATGGAAAGATTTCAGATCACAGCAGGCAGAGTACTGACAGCAGAAGCCTTCTATACATATAGGCTATACATATACATTCCTATTAAACGTATTTTCACATTAGTCATGTCATAAGGAAGAATTAGAACCAATAGGAAGCACCACAAGAAAGAGGAAACAAAACACAATAGAAGAAAAAAAAAAGAGCAAACACTATGCTTTGATGTGTATTCAAACTCCATAGTTTTTTTCTTTGGTGGATAGCATTTTCCATCATGAAGCCTTTGGAGATGTCATAGATCCTTGCATTGTTGAGAAGGGCTAAGTCTATCAGTGTTAGTCATCGCACAAGGTGGCTGTTATTGTGTACAATGTTCTCTTGGTTCTGCTCATTTCACTCAGCATCAGACCATATAAGTCTTTCCAGGTTTTTCTGAAGTCAGCCTGTTCATCATTTCTTATAGCACAATAGTATTCCATTACATTGATATGCCACAACTTGCTCAGCCATTCCCCAATTGATGTGCATCCTCTCAATTTCCAATTCTTGGACATCACAAAAAAAGCTGCTGTGAATATTTTTGTATGTATGGGTCCTTTTCCCATTTGTATGATCTCTGTGGGATACAGCCCTAGAAGTGCTATTGTTGGGTCAAAGAGTATGCATATTTTAATAGCCCTTTGAGCATAGTTCCAAATTGCTCTTCAAAATGTTTCACAACTCCACCAGCAATGCATTAGTGTTCCAATTTTCCCACATCTTCTCCAACATTTATCATTTTCCTGTTTTGTCATGTTGGCATCTGATAGGTGTGTTGTGGTACCTCAGAGTTGTTTTGATTTGCATTTCTCTAATCAATAGTGATTTAGAACATTTTTTCATATGACTATAGATAGCTTTAATCTCTTCATCTGAGAACTGCCTGTTCATATCATTTGACCATTTATCAATTGGGGAATGAATATTCTTATAAATTTGACTTAATTCTCTATATATTTTAGACATGAGGCCTTTATCAGAGAGACTGGTTGTCAAAATTCTGTCCCAATTTCCTACTTTCCTTCTAATCTTGGTTGCATTGGCTTTGTTTGTGCCAAAACTTTTCAATTTAATGTAATCAAAGTTATCTATTTTGCACTTTCATTTGATTCTTGTAACAACCCTATGAGGTAGGTGCTATTACTATCCCTGTTTTCCAGTTGAGGAAACTGAGGCAAACAGAGGTGAATTGACCTGCTTAGGGTCACACAACTAGTAAATGGCTGAAGCTGCGTTTGAGCTCAGGGCTTCCTGACTCCAGGCACAGAGCTCTATCCACTTTGCCACCAGTGCAGGACCTCTATGGCCCACCACCCCAGGGGCATGGTCAGTTAATGAGTTCATCAATCCACAAGTGCTTATCAGTGCTTACCATGGGCCAAGCATTGGGGTACACTGTAAAGAGCAATAACCCGGGATCAGAATTCCTGGTCTCCAAAGCCTCCTCTCATTATCACTACCTAGTGATGCTGGGCAAGTTATTAGCAGCTGTCCTTCCTGCCTCAGTGTCTTCATTTGTAAACGGGGCAGGGAGCAGGCTTCTGCTGTCAGTACTCTGCCTGCTGTGATCTGAAATCTTTCCATTTCATCTCCTTTCATGTTATTGTGGTCATTGTGTAAATCATTCTCCTCACCCTGATCTGTTCTCCAGAGGCCACTTCCCATTATGTCCATTCATTTTAATAGCAGGAAGTTTTATTTGAAAAGTATTAAATAAATAAAACTGATAATCACGTAATTTAATTGAAGAAAGGATTGCTCTAGCTGTGTGTTTCTGGGCAAGTCACTTAACCCCAATTGCCTCTCAAAAAAAAGAAGAAGAAGAAGAAGAAGAGATGGCTCATACCTGGGTTCAAATCCTGGCCCAAACATTTACCACCTATGTGGTCTTGGCCAACTGACTTTTGTTGGAAGTGAGCCTGGTGTCCAGAACCTGAGTCCTGGGTTGACTCAACTGAATGATGAACATTTATTAAGCACCTACTGTGTGCTCAGGGTTACAATAGGTGTGTAGCCTTTTAGAACTGGGAGAGACATTTGAGACCATTTAGTTGGAGAGCCTCATTTTATGGATTTAGAAACTGAGGCTTAGAGCCATGATATGACTTCCCCAAGGCAAGCCAAGATGGTAAGTGGCAAGGGTAGGATTCAAACTCAGATCCTATGACTCTAATCCCAGTGTTCTTGCCATTACACTAGTAAGTGAACAAGACTTTAGTAAGCACCTACTGTGCGCCAAGCACTTTACTAAGCCCTGGGGGGACAAAGACAGTCTTTGCCGTTAAGTAGCTGCAGTCTAAATGGGGCACGGGGCGGGGCGGGCAAGGCATGGGAACAAGTCTGTATGGAACGGATAAAGACTGGATCAGCTGGGGAGAGAGGCATGCCACTCTGCTAGTGTTAAAAAGCTTTAAAACATAGACTTCGCCTCTACCAGTGACTCGCAATTCCCTTTGACTGCAACTAGACAGGCAAAAATTCCATCCCTTCCCAATACGCAGTTCATTAGGAGAACTTAGTGCAGTCACCTCACTCTAGTGCCAACTCACGTGTAATCATCACAATGCGTGCCGCAAGTCAAGATCTGCCTCTTCTTTCCCCCCAGGCAGTAGCGGAGATGCCCCGACCCCAGCAGCTCCTCAAGTTTCCAAGGACCAGATAAACCTGGTCATCCACACGGATTGATGCCAAGAAAAGTGCTCACATCCATAACCCAAACATCCTACTGTTGTGGGGTTTAACGGAGCACCAGGAGGGATCGTTCATGGTTGGGATGTGCCGCCACTTAAAACAGCTTGCTTCCTTTTTTTTTTCTCCTCCAGGCCTCCATCAAACCAAAGTGTGGACGTATGGTCAGCTTTTCCTCAGGCAGAGAGAACCCCCATGGGGTGAAGGCTGTGACCAAGGGGCAGCGGTGTGCTGTTGCTCTGTGGTTTACCTTGGACCCATTGTACAGGGAGTTGGTAAGTTCCGCTTGCGATACATCCCAATGGTCTGCAGCAGGCCTGACTTGCTCCTCACATGCCCATCTTACAGAATCCCTAAACTGGGAGAATTCTTGAGACAAGTGTCCCCTTTTATATGCAGTAGAAACGGGAACATTTCGTAGAAATGCCTCTCTTACTTTCTTGCCTCACGAGGATCGTGTTACCAGGATGGCCAAAGTGCTTCTGCTCTGGGATTCACTTGATTCTAATTCAGCCTCACAAACATTTCGTAAGCAAGTACTATGTGCCAGGATGTGTGTGCTAGGCGCTGAGAATAGAAAGATGAGCCAAAGAGGCCGATTCCCCACTGGAACAGGACATGGCTGCTGTCCTGCTCGCTAAATCTGGCCACTCGACGCTTTCTGTCAGGCTGTCTTCTGTTCAATCTGCCCTCTACATGGTGACCAAAATAATATTCCTAAAGAATGAGTCCTCTGCTCATGAAACGGCCATGGCTTCTTGTTACCTTAAGGAGATAAGCTCCCAATTCTGCCATTTAAGAAACATAATCTGGCTCCAATTTATGTTTGCCCCCTTATTCATCATTATTCCCCTTCACAAACATTCCCTGGAGCCAGACCAGTCCCCTCACTGTTTGCTGATCTCCTGTCCCCTCTAATGTGTTTATATGGGTTGCCCTCACTTCCCCACACACACATTCACACACACACATGCACACACGCACAAATGCATGTACACTCTCATGCATTCACACACACACACACACACACACACACACACACACACCTGGAAAGCACTACTTCCTCATCTTTCCTTCCAGACACCTGTCTGCCTCTAGGCCTTACCATTTATATGCTGAAGTTTTCCCCAGGAACTTCCTGCCCCATATAAAGATGTTTTCCACCAGTATTTTCCCATAGCACCATATCTGGATCTTTTCTTGGCATTCTTCATACCAGCCTTATACTATGTATGTTTCCCATACCCCTCCCCCTCTTCACTGCCCAAGGAAAAATGGAAGCTTCTTGAGGGCAAGGACAGCTTTATTTTTGTCATTAGAACCTCATGGCATAGCATGGTGCCTGGTATCCAGCAGGTGCTTAATAAATGCATGGTAGATCAAATTGAATCCCAGGACGAGTGGAAATCTGTATCCATGAAGGGGACACAGTCCACATGAATGAGAACACAGAACTGTTGAAATTTCCCTTTTTAGAATCCTCACGGGCACGTTTGCCCTATGATATCATAAGTCAGAAAAATAAAATTCCTCTTCCAGTCATAAAATTCAAGTTCCAATGCAATCTGAATTTCCTCCATTGAGAGAAAATGCTAGTGGACCCCAATGCTATCCTCCATCTTTTATCAGGGAGCAGTGACATCTAGTGGTAGAAGTGGGCAATGCTCCTTAGAGTCGTCACTGTAGAGCCCCTGGGGATAGGTATGCACAGCACTGTCCCTTCTTTTTGAACTGGTCCTATGGAGCAGTTGTGCATCAGTTACTCACTGGCTTTGGCACATTTTGCCTCCTCGAGCAGGCCAGTCACAAATTTGTCTAGCCTCGAGAACACACCAGTCAAGTCACCAAACACTGATTAAGCACCTACTATTTACTGGGGACACACAAAGAGGGCAAAAGCCCAAACCCTGCTCTCCAGAGGGCCACCGTCTGCCAGAGGAGACATCTGCAAACAGCAAGGCACGAACAAAAGAGGAGAAATCGGAGGTGGTCTCAGCGGGGCCTGCTTGCCAGGCCTGTTGTAGGAATCAAATGAAATATGTGTTAAGGGCTTTGCAAGTCTTAAAGTGACATATAAACAATGGCTATTCTATTACATATGGTGGTGATTTTGATGACAGTGATGATGAGGTCCGAACCCCTCAGAAATCAGAAGGAGCTATTTTCATCCTCATTTTACAAATGAGGAAACTGAGGGTCAGAGTGAGCTGTCCAAGGTCAGAAAGGCTTTAGGGCAGGCTTTTTACCCTCATTTCCACAGCTCCTGCCTCAAGCTTATCTGCAATGTCCAGATCTAGTAGAGAGAGGGCCCCAGGTAATCCCACGTGATCCCAGGTGATCCCAGGGGTCAGGAGGGACCTCTGAGGCATCCTGTCCTATCTGCAGCAGAGGGACGCTGCACCATGAGATACCTAATGTGAGCTTGTCTGGCTGCTGCTTGATGGAGGGCTTGTTACCTCTGGGAGTACCTGTTTCACTTTGCACTGGGGCTCATTGTTTGTTCAGGTTTTCTTTGTTTTTCCTGGATACTGAGACTTGGCATCCTGGCTGATGGTTACCCCATCCAAGGCCACCCAGAATACCTGTCTTTTCTCTTCAAAGCCCTGAATACTTGGATATAACTAAGCCCTCTCTCTTCTCTGGATGAAACCACCAGTCTCCCCATGGCCTGCTGGTGTACTTTGGAGACCCATCCCCAGCCTACCAGGGTGCCCTGGAGACCCCTTCCCAGCCTGCTCACCTTACTCTCCATGCTCCCCAGCTCAGGTTGGGCTTCCCTGAATATCTCCCTCCTACCAATCCACACTGATTCTGTCTCCTCTCACTTCAGGGCACTGGTTTGGAGGAAAGATTTTCTGTTGGGATGAACATGGAAAAGGAAAGTTTCGAGATAACTCATAGGCATAGCAAGACAGATAGAGATATATGTGTGTGCATACCTGGGTATAAACATATATATTACACACATGTAAATTACCTAGGTAACATATCTATACACATATTAAATGGTATTTATTATGATATTATTAAATCCTATTGAAATATGTGATATTTACACACAGATAGTATAAATACACACACCTCACTGCTACAGAAGCTAATTGGATGAGGGGTTAGAATGAACCCTGGATCACATTGTTCCCAGGCACCTCCGCTGTATCAAGTAATTATCATAATGACAGCTAACATTTCTGTGCACCTACTATGTGCCATGCACTGGGCTGAGAGCTTTACAATTATCCCCTCATTTAATCCTCACAGTGACTCTTGGAGGCAGGGGCTATGATCCCCACCCAGGCAAGCAGAGGTGAAGTGACTTGCCCAGGGTCACACAGCCAGCTAAGGGAAGCTGGATTTGAAGTAAGGTCCTCCTGACTCCAGGCCCCACTCCATCTGCTGCCCACCCAGCTGAATGCATCTCATGAAGACATTTCATCTTACATTTTAATTGGTGTTTGGGGAGTAGCCTGCCTGACCTATTCACACAAGCATCGTCCTTCATTTGTTTTGAGGATGCCGCTTGTTTGCATGTCACCACTCTCCACCACCCAAAAGCCTCCCCCAAAGACACTTAAGCCGAATCACCTGAGATCACAGGTGTAGCACCTTGCTGTATATGCAGTATTGGGCAGCCATAGCCCCGTACTTTTGCAGTGCAAGGAAGGTGGTCTCATAGCAGCCTCAGAAATGGTAGGACCTGCTGAGGACAGAAGCAGCCAGTCAGTTCTGTGGCTCAGCAGCTGATGGGGTGCCAGACGCCTCCTGACTCGGGGATTGACTGCCGCTGGTAATGCTGAGATGGGTGCTAACAGAGGTTCCTATTTTCTCTCTTCCAGGAACGTCTGCAGGCAGATGAAATGATCAGACAGTGGAACCACGAACAGGGCATCAACCCCAAAGACGAGCTATGAACATGGCCAAGAGTGCCCTATCAAATATTTATTTAAGAACGTTAATCTTATTAGAACCTTTTATTTTTGTACAGAGTCTTGCTATAAATTAACGCGTGAACATGAGTCTCTGAAGCCTCCCTTTGTCTACAACCCTTCAATCTTCTGGTTGGCACATCTTTCAAGAGAATCAATCGAGCAGTCGATCAATAAGCACCTGCTGAGTGCCTTCCATGTGCTGGGGAACTCACAAGGAGCCCCCGGCCTGGGGAGCTGACCTCCAATCCCACAAGCATGTATTTGTATTAAGTACCTACTCAGTGCCCCCAGCATGGGGCTCCAGTGCCAGGAGGACAAAGAGAAACAGAAAAAGTCCCTGCTCTCCAGGTGTGCAAAAGAAACACCCAAACCCCTCCTGTTCAGTGTGCTGAGGGTGTCAAGGCCCAGACAGCAAGGGTCCCTCCTTTCTCTCCTCGGCAGAATTCCAAGCTTTGGAGCCCAGAGCTTGAGGTGCTGTTAGGCGTGTTAGCTCATATGAGCTCCACAACTCTGGGCCGTAGTGTGCTTCCTGCCACTATTTTACAGATGAGGAAAGAGGCAGGGAGATGTTAAGGGACTTGCACAGGGAGTCTTTGAGTCAAGATTTGAACGTGGGTCTCAGTCCCACACTATCCACTTCGTCTCTTCGATGCCATTCATGAAAAAAGCCACCAAGCCATTCCAGGCCAAGGCCAAGAGCCCAGACCTAGGGAGTCATTTCTGGTATTTACCCCACAGAACCAAGAACCTGCTCCAGGAACACTCATGGCGAGGCCTGGTTTCTTCTCCTGTGTATCCCCTGTGGAGGCCAGATTACTTGTCAGCAATTTCCCTGATCATTTTCTCCAGCTTTTGGGGGGGGTCCCTCAGTTTTGTTACTGTACAACACATTCGTGCTTTCATCTGAATCTTCTAATAAAGGGAAACTTTATTTTAACTCCAGTATTCTCAGCGTCTCAGTCATTCACTCCATAGACATTTGCCCACAGGCTCCTGCAAACGTGGACAGTGCTACATGGCTTCTTGGTCAATAACAAAGCATTCTTTAGGCACCTTCTGTGTACCAGGCATTGTGGTGAGTGCTGGGGATATAGAAAAAGGCAAAAGTCAGTCCCTGCCCTCCAGGCTGGCTGGCAAGAGGGCAGGCATTATGCTTCAAGCATTTACAAAGTGTTCACTGTGTGCCAGGCACTGTGATAGGTGATGAGGACACACAAAAAATAAGCCAAAAGAAAGAGGGTGCCTGCCATCAAGGAGCTGATGTTCAAACGAGGGGAAACAGGCAGAGAAGGGGGAGGGGGAGAGAGAAGGTCCTGGTGCGGGGGCACATCAGCAAACTAGAGTCAAAAGCACAACCAGGAGGGGATGAAGCAGGGCTGTCACAGGCCTGTTCCCATAATGGCAGCCCTGGAAGGAAGCCACCAATGAGAAAAGGGCACAGGCTTGGCAAACAGACGTTCCAGGATGAGAAAGCCTCAGGAGCTGAGAGAAGGGCTAAGGTGAGAAGAGTGTTGGGTGAAAAAGCTCGCCCTACATCGTGGCTAAGTAATGCCCGGCCCAGGCCTTCAAAGAGCTTCCAGGCTAACACAGTGTGATCAAACATCTATGTGACACAGTGAAGAATAAAAATAAAATTGAAATAAAATTAGAATTAAATCAGGCATACAAAAGGAATGTCCTAGTGGGCTAGATGGGGAAGAAATCTTCTATCAAAGCTGTTTGAGAAGGTTAATGGAAAAGGGGACATTCCTCTTGTCCCAAGAAATTTGGAATCATATTTGAAGGACATTGAATTTCAGACAAAGGAGCTTCTTCCTTATTTAATAATAGCTAGAATTTATATAATATTTTAAGATTTACAAAGTACCTTATGAATATTGGCTTATTTTATCCTCATAATAACTCTGGGACATAGGTGTAGTCATTGTATTTTATGGTTGAGGAAACTGAGGCAGAGGTCTAGTGGCTAGTACAGGGTCACACAGAAGATAAGTGTCTTGGGCTGGATTTCAGCTCAGGTCTTCCTGACTCCAGGCCCAGTGCTTAGGTAGAAGAGCAACTGGGAGCTGAGTTTGGGGGGGCAGGTTTGAGCCTGCGTGTAATATGATTCACACCTGTGCCCCAGGAAGACCAATATGTAGACGAGCTCAGAAGAGACAATGGCTGGAGATTGGAAAAACAACTGGAAGAATATGGTGATGACCGTAGCCATCCGTGAGGCTGGGGAAGGGAAGAGGTGTTGCAGCTGCTTGGGAAGAAGATTCTGAAGGAGTGGCCAGAGCCGGCTGGTGGCACAACCTGTTAGACCAATGGCTATTTGGGAACAGGGTTCATTTGGACACCACAGTGTTAAAGCTGAAGCCCTAGGAGCTGCTTGTTACCACCACTCTTTTTGCCCAAAGTGGAAATGCCAGGAGAGTGTAGAGAGACAGACAGAGACAGAGAGACACAGAAAGAGAACATATAGGCTCAGGAACCTTTGGTACCCAAATAGGTTTTCCTTGGGAAAGTCCCACTTACCTCTCCTGAAGCTGTTGGCAAAGGACCCTGTTAAACTTAGCATCACATGAAGCCAATCCCAGGTGTGGGCAGCGAGCAGGTGACTGGGCATCTGCTCAGGTGCCTTGGGGAAGGCTCACCTCCTGGGCTTTTCTAGACTAAGCAGATCATGGAGCCTACCCCTGACATTTTGGACACTAGCATGACATCCTATTAATCATAGTAACATTCTAGAGATGGAAGGAACCTTATCTAGACAACCCTTTTACTTTACAGGTGAAAAAACTGAGTTCTAGAGAGGGAAATGAACTTGGCCAGGGTCACATAGGGAGTAAGTGTCTGAGCCTAGATCTGCCATTCTAACCCTTACTATGGTCTGGTGGGATCTGCCTGATTGAAAGTCATCTCAGTCTGGACCCTAAAAGTGAACAATAGAAGAATAAGTTTGTTTTCTCTTTTTATTTCGGAAAAAAAAATAGGAAAGAAAAGATTTCCAAAATACTAATTTCCCTTTGATTTGACTTTGATTACTTGTATTGATTTTGCCCCTTAGACTTACAGAGTAGAATTGGCCCAATGCACATCCCATCTGCTTCTGTCTCACTTTACATTTTTCCTCCTCTCACCCCATGACATATTTTTTTGTTACTGAAGGAAAGGTCTTTCTCACATTAAAATATTAACAACTCTAACCAAACCCTGTTTCCTAACCCAGATGCTGCGATGGCCAAGTTTGTGCTGTCCCAAATATACCATCTGAAAAGGTGTCATGCACCTTTCACCCCAATTGCAGGCGAATGTCCTGGACAGTGTCCTATTACAAAACTCACTCAATTAAAGTTGGCTCTTTTGATCTGCCCTGAACACCAAGGCACTGATTCCTTCCACATTTCATTGGCCTCTGGGGAGGTATCAAAGGTTGGCTTTCAGGTCGGTCAGGAAGGAATCTATTAAGAGGTTAGCTGTGCTTGCTCTCTGTGACTCCCCATGTGTCTTCTTAGGAAGGGTGGCCCTGGAGAGCAGCTGGGACTCTGAGCATGAGCTTGACTGTGCAGCCTCACCAAGTGAGGCTTGGGGAACTAGATGGTTAGACAGATGGCTTGTGGGGGACCAGTTACTTACACAGCAGAGCAGAGATTCCTGCTTTCTAGCCAAAGGTTTACACTTAGATACTCTTTGGAGACCAGAACCACCCACCCCACTCCTTTATTAAAAATCTACTGTCTTTCCAGGGTCTAAATTCTTTCCCATGAGATATGTAAAAATCATAGGATTGCAGAGCTGGAAAACAGCTTATCAGCTAACCACCTCAGAGACAAATATCCCCTCCATAGCATCAAATGGCCAGGTGGCATTTCGAGCAAAGACCTCCAGTGAGGCCCCCTACCTCCTGAGACAGCCATTTTCACCTTGAGATATCTCCAATAGCACCAACAACAATAACAAACCTTCATTAAGTGCCTATTATGAGCCAGGTGTGTGCTAATCACTGCGAATACAAAGAAACAGTATGGTGACACCCTCTACAGTATCAGAGAAGTTCAGAAAAGGGGTCAAGAAGCTGAGTTCTGCTCTGGACAAATGGATGTTGAGATGCCTATGGAATACCCAAAATGTCTAGTAGGCAGTCAGAGGATTAGGACTCAGATGAAAGACCAGGGTTAGAAATATAGAACTGCGACTCATCTAATAGAGATGATGGAATCCATGGGAGCTGATGAGTTCACCAATGGAGGTAATGCAGAGAGAAAAGAGGGCCCAGGACTGAGGTTGGGCGACACCCATGACTCATCATCACAACATGGATGGAACCAGTAAAGGAGGCTGAAAGGGAGTTGTTGGACAGGTAGGAGGAGAACCAGGAGAGAACAATGTGAAAAGTTTGAGAAGAGAGATTACCAGGGGCAAAAGCTGCAGAGAGTTTGAGAAAGATGAGGACTGATAAGACTTGACAAGGAAAGAGCCCAAGATGAGTCCCAGGGTACAAGCAGGTACTTAAGGGAGTGGTGATACCCTCTGAGAGGACATGGTTGTTTGAGGGGGGAACAGGCACAACACCCTGTTAGTGTATAAACAGACATGCCACACTCTATCCAGAGAGAAATGGCTCATCAAAGGGGAATTTATCATTAGCCTGACACTTAAGGATTAATTTGTGGACTCTCAGAGTCCAAAGGGATTGTAGAATCTGTGTGGTCCAAACCATACCTGAACCAGGACAAAGCACTGACATGAAAACCTAGAGAGGAGAATTCTCCTCCAGGAGGACTTCTAGGAGGTCAAAAAGAAGGGGGAGAAATGCCTGTCAGATTTGGCAATTAAGAGATCAATGATAACCTTGCAGAGAACGGTTTCCATTGAATGATGAGGTCATGAGAGATGCTAGGATTCTGGGATTCTGATGGGATCAAGCATAGACCGCATTAGATTTCAAGCACCCAGGGTTCACATCTCTGTCAGTGATCTCCAGGCACCTCCCCCAGAACATCCCTAGCAAAAGCAATGTCGTACATATGTGCCTCACTTCAAATTGATCTAGCTACATATTATACGCACATTACATGTGTGTAGACTACATTCGAGCAGTACTACTGCCAGGCTCAAAGACATAAATTATTTCATTTGGTTCTCCAAACAACTTCTAAGCAGGACAGGTGTTAGTGCTTCCATTTTTACAGGTGAGGAAAGAAGGCTCAGAGACTTACACATAAAGTTAGAAAGGGGAGGATTTAGTCTTCAGGCTGTCTTCCTCATAAACATAGAGAGAACATTTCCTGGCAGTTTTCCAGCTGAGGAGAAGCCATGGGATGAGTCAGAAGAGCTTAATAATATATACTTGTGAATTTTAATTGCAATACAAATGCTGAGCTATTTCATGTAGGAGAGCCCCAAGGGATGGCTTCCCTCCCTGACGTCAAAGGAGAAGGTAATGGAGGCCTCTGCTCCCCACCTTCATACCACAGCCTTAACAAGTCTGAAAGGACTGGCAGAGCGAAATCTGGAGATGGGAAAAAGTCACAGTGTTCCCATCAGCAGAACCAAAGAAGGAGAGCCACTTGGGAAACCTTCCAAAGTACAAGTGGGATGTGGTGGAGAATCAGTCTCATTTCTTTCCAATGTGAGGGATGAGGGGCCCTCCCAGGCCCCTAGCCCACCCACAGCAGTTCAGCTCCAGAACACCTAAGAGTCAGTGTTTCCAATACAATGCTTGGGAACATGTTACATCTTTGGTGTGATTATCGGCTACAAGAACGCTGTGTTCAATAGCACCCGGCAACTCTTCAGATGAGCTCCAGGTAAGGGCTACATGTGCTGCTGCAAACTCATGGGGTCCCTGGGAGCTGTCATCATCTGCTAAATTACAGCCCTCCCTTTGGATCACTGTGCACTCTCTGTGCTGGCTGGGCATGGGAGGCACACTGTCGTTGACCTCTGAAGACAAG